CAACTGAAATACAAACCTTGTTTATGAAGAAATGTCTCATCAAATTGACATTAAACACCAATTTGAAGTATTCTTTTTTCCTTTTGTGTTTGAGAAATATAATTTTGGTTGGCTTTGGCAACTAGTTATGTTGATTAGTCAATAAAAGATTGACTAATTACTTGTACATTAATTAATCAACTAGTGTAGATTAAAAAGAGGATTAATGGGCTTTTTTCTTTTGAGTTTAGGATCTAAAACGTGTTTCTGAGTTGTGCCTTGTTTGGAGGAAGGAAAAGAAAAAGACCCAAGCTTTTATTTTTCTACTTCAAAAGACTCATTTTCCAACCATAGAAAAAAACCCATTAATTTACTTATTTTTAGAATAAAACGCATTTAATTTTGCATATTTACAGTAAGCACAAAACCAATCGAAACTAAAGTACAAATGAAAGCCGAAGGCCTCAAGGCAAGAACAAAAGCAAAGGCAACAACCCAGCAACAGCAACAACAACAACAACGCAAGTTCCAAAGGCAGCATGGTTTTCAAAGTACCTTAAATTTGTTACCTTTTAGACACCCTTTTCTTGCCTTATATGAATAAAAACTAACCAAAATATTCGCAATTCACATATAAATCACCAAAACGTCTCTTTCTATAACCTTCGCTGGTAATTCTCTGGTGTCTCTTCTGGGTGTGAAGGAAGGAGATGGCAGGAATGAATGGAGGGTCCGAGAGAGAGGCATGGAGAGCTCATGCTTCGATGGCGTTAGTGCAACTCATCAATGGAGGCTATCATGTAATTACCAAAGTAGCCCTGAATGTTGGTGTCAATCAGCTAGTCTTTTGCGTCTTCCGGGATCTTCTTGCCCTCTCTATTCTTGCCCCCGTCGCCTATGTTCGCGAAAAGTATGAACCTTTTCTGGGTTTGACTCCACTTGTTCTTTGCTATCTATCATTATAAGTTGTAGTTTTTAATTGGGTCCTTTCTTTCTCTTCTTGGCATCCGTTTCTTATGGAGATGAAACTGGATATTGGGTTTTTTTGTCTAGGTTCTAATGTTTTGGTTTTTATGCGATGTTTGAATCCAAAATTTGAGACTTTGATGTGCTGTCTTAAGTTACATTGACTCCTCCAAATTTTGGTTGACCTTATACTTAGATGATTAATCGATCTGTTCCTATTAAGATGATATTCATTGTATCCACGGCTAAATTGATTACCTTTGTTGGCTTGTTTGTTGACTCTTGCAATAAATTTGTGTCATTTTTAGTCGATTTTAATCTAGCATCTCTGTTCGGTATGTTTACCAGCAACTTATCGTTTGTAAACATATTTCTAGTTTTCTGGACCCTTGGATCGAATGTATAACTTTTTGGGTCATCTTGTCTCACTTTGCTGCAGAAGGATTCGACCTCCTATGACTAAACGCCTCTTCCTATCATTCTTCTTTCTTGGGTTAACTGGGTGAGTATTGCTCTCTAAACCTACCTAATTGATCTGGCAATATATTATCTGCATAAATTGTGCCTGATAGAACTTCCTGCTAGCGAACTTATCCAGTTTTGGTAAATTGGAATAGGATATTTGGCAATCAGCTTTTATTTCTCATTGGTCTGAGCTACACAAATCCAACTTATGCTGCTGCCATACAGCCTTCAATTCCAGTCTTTACCTTTCTCTTGGCTGTAATGATGGGGTAATGGCAATAAATTCATACTTCTTTTTTTCTAAATTTTGTTTGGTATTGGTTAATTTCTATAAACACAAGCATATATTTTGATGTATGTTGCTTTTGGCCATATTTTGTATGAAATTATACATGCAGTACAGAAAGAGTGAATTTGCTCAAAACTGAAGGTCAAGCGAAGGTTGGAGGTACCCTAATCTGTGTTTCTGGTGCAATATTAATGGTTCTGTTTCGTGGTCCAGCTTTGCTTGGACACAAGGATGCAGACTTTTCTGCACATAATGATATAAGCGCCAGGGGTCAACCAGAGCCTGCTGGATGGCTTATGTCTAGTTTTCTCGAGTATGGACTTGAACATTGGCATATTGGAGTTTTATGCCTGATAGGGAACTGTATGTGCATGGCTGCTTTCCTGGCCATTCAGGTATGCCATCACGTGGTTGGTTTTTGGATAATTTAAGTTATTTCTGTTTATATCACTCCTATCAACTAATCCTCGTGTAGGAGGTTATTCCCCTTTTTCTATAATTAGTCATGATAAATGAATCAGAGCAAGCTTTGTCCTTGTAAAAGCCGTTCTTTGCTTATGGTATATTAAATTCCATATCTTATTTGCCGGAGGGAACGAACAGAATCTCTGTTTGAGCAACATAAAGAGAATATGGCCCCTGTGGTGATGAACATGAGTTGAGATTTGATGTGCAATTAGGTATTCAAGCAATATCTACCTTTTGCTTAGTGGTTTTCACAAGGAGTGATGGAAGTGATTCGTATACATTTTCATCATTAACATTTATATTAAATTTCCTGAAAAATAGTGCTGACTTATTTCATCATTAACATTATAATTTGAACTTTGCATGTGTATTTTGTTGTAATTAATATATGCTTATTTACTGTTTTTAACAATTCCAGGCTCCAGTTTTAGCCAAGTATCCTGCCAACATTTCTGTCACAGCATTTTCCTATTTTTTTGGTGCTGTATTGATGGTAGCAGCTGCATTCCTTATGACCAATGAGTCAACAGATTGGAGTCTGACACAGTCTGAGCTTTTTGCGGTCTTGTATGCTGTAAGTTTCTTATAGATTTTATATTTTCTCGAATCTTAATGATTTTACAGGTCAATTCATTAAAAGACTAGCCATTATTAAAGTTGTGGCTTTAGCTGAGTTTGAAATGTTATTTAATGTTTTCTTTTTTTAATTTATCTTTTGGGTCAATGCTTGATATGCTGGTTTAATGACCAAGATCTCATTCTTGGTCTTGGTTTAGTTTTTGATTTTTTGAGTCTTTTAATTGTATAGTTTAATTGTACCAGGTGGAAATGAAGGAAATGGATTCATGTTAAAGACCATCTAGTCTAAGAACCCAGTGTGCTAAGTTGGGTTGATTTGTCTATTAAGTGTTAGGAAAAGAAATTAATAGATTTAATTGGAAAAAGAAATGATAAATGATAATTACAGTAACTCCCCTGATGTTTTCCGAGAACACGCTTTCGTCTGTAAAGCTTGACCTACACTTACCTCCTCCTCCTCCTTGACACACATTTTAGGCACATATATAAGGGTAAGAAAAGTTGTCATTGAAGGTGGTAAGGCACTTCCCCTGTTGAATGCAAGTAAAGGGAAGAGCATGATTTCTTGGGGAGAGAAGTAGTAAGAGACATAGGTTTCAATAAGGAAAGTGTCAGAAAACTGATGGTAGAAGGGGGTAAGCTTTGCTTTTTTCAAAATGTAAGAATATTAAAAATGGTTAAACTGATTTGTGCTGTCCATGGGTTCTATATTTGGATTTTAGAAGCTATCTATAATGAATGCTGGAATCCCTTCTGATCACCTAATGAAAAGTGGTAACATTTTAAAATATGGCATCACATGTAAAGTAATGTATGACAATACTGATTATGTATAAAATTTAGCTGCCTGCCAAATAGGTAAACCTGAAGCTATGGATATATTGCTTTTGCAGGGAATTGTTGCATCGGCTCTTAACTATGGAATGCTGACATGGTCGAATAAGATCTTGGGGCCTGCTTTAGTTGCTCTTTATAATCCACTTCAACCTGCAGCATCAGCCTTTCTTTCAAGAATTTTCCTCGGAAGTCCAATTTATTTGGGAAGGTTTTACTTCTGTCTCTTCCACTACAAATTATAACTTAATATCTCATCCAATACAAAGATAACATGTAATTTTCTTTGCTTCATTACCGTCAACTCCAAAAGCTGGTCTGAACTTATTTGCTTGTCTTTCATATCTTGTGACAGTGTTATCGGGGGATTTCTAATAATTGCTGGTCTATATATGGTCACTTGGGCATCCTACAGAGAAAAACACACAGCTATCGGGATCATGCCTCAGGTTGTTCGGTCCTCTGAACCTCTCATTCACAAAGATGCGTCAGTCAACAAGAACTCGTTCCAGAGAGGACACATTTTCTCAGGGTCATCCACCTTATTACAAAAACCAAGTGATTAATTATGTAATTTAGATGTGATGTAAGGTTTTATAAGATCTTTTTTGAAACAGCTACAATATACTGAAATCAAATGGTGTCACTTGGCATGTGTTTCAACTTTGATTGGTAACAGAAGAGAGAAAAATCATTGAATACATCTTCAAAAGGCAACAACATAGGACATGCTGAGGCTGTGCTGATTTGCTCCTTCGTGCTGTCTTATTTTGTTCTAGGAAACTCAGTTTTTCACACTTTGATGACTTACAAACTCAATGCAATAAATTTATTTTGCTTGGATTAGCAACTTGAGGGCTCCATTCATGAGCAGAAGCCAAATCCTAATGGCAAATATTCCCAAAGTCTTATATTACAAATAATTTCCATAATACATTAGTTAATTAAAAGTTCATTACTTGATTCATTAGAATCGACAATGAACATTACAAAAAATTGAAATAACATTTATTACCTAATTCGGTCTCTAATTGTGAATTTTCGTCCCACTTTTAACAATGTGGCAAAAATGTAAAATTATCAATGGCAATGGAAAGCAAATAGGGAAGAATGGAAAGTGAAAAATACATAATAAAGAAGAGAGAAAAGAAAGATGTGAAGGAGAAGTTGACTAACATTAACAACAGCATGAAGGGGTCAATGTAGAAAAATTGGAAAAAGACAGGGTAACTGATGGAAATACAAGGGGGAGATGATAAGCAAATGAGTTTTTTATATAACTGCAAAATTACTAAATAATAAAAAAGAATGTGGGAAAGGCTCAATACGAAACCTTTTCTATTTTGTTTCCTGAGACGGTAGGAAATATATATATATATATATATATATATATATATATATATAAATCAGAAATCAGAAACAGAGGAGGGAGTCACCAGAGAGAGAGAGAGAGAGAGAAGAGAGAGAGAGAGAGAGACCGGGGGAGAGAGGAGAGACCCAAAGGCCAAAACCTCTTCTGTTTTCCATTGGATCTGAGACAGTGAATCCCAAACTGACAGCAGTGCAAATAATAAAACATTTTCGGTTCTATTTTCGGTTGTTTATTTGTACAGATTGTAAAGACAAGGCAGAGATCTGGGAACTGCCGCAATCTCAATCCCAAGTCATATCGACTCTTGCCTGCAGGTATTCCTCGACCTTGGTTTAGTCGTTTAGTCATACTAGAATTTATTTAGTATTCAAGATCAATCTGTCTTTGCCCACCCTTAACATCTTGGATAAATTTTAGAACATGATTTCTTCAGTTCCCGTGTTTGTTTGTCTGTCTCCGGCACCAAACGCTTTTTGGGTTCTTTCAAATGTATGCAAAACACCAATCTTTTGTTTTGGGCAGAACCCCAGAGTTGAACAAACATTGCTGCATAATGCGTTTCTGAGTTGGCCTTATCGATTAATGTTTCAAACTTAGATATCCTTGTTTGGCGACCTATTTCATATATGCAGGACTGATTCGATTTCATCATTGGATTTTGGCTGTTAGGATTCGTGATAATTGGTGTCACCTGCTTGGCTGCTGCATTGTGATACCTCTGTCCATGCAGTGACAATTTCACCAAAATCAATGTGATCATTGAATTGAATTACATTGCAAGTTTGATTTTGGCTGTTCTGGCTAGTATGCAAGCAGCAAGGAATGAAAATTATATTTTCTAAATTTCGTCGTTGGCAAAATATGCCCTATGAAAAGTTATCAAATTTGATGAAAAACAGGAGAAATGGTATTTAGTAGAATCGCAGAAACAATCTCTGGTGCATCGAATCTTTTAGCTGCTACACAGTCTTCTGCAGCTTCATATATGTCGCCTGCATTGTCACTGCAGGCAGGTAAAAATGCTGCCCATGGGTTTGGTTTTGTCAACTCTGGACACAAGAATAATTTGCGCCTCTCCTCATCACTCCAAGATTTCTCATCATATCACCGGCTTGATCCAGAAGCAGCTGATCTTATTTCTGAAATTGATAAGAGCATGACCTATACAAGACCCCCTCTACAGCGAGAAAATGCTGGGTCAAGTTTCTCAAAGGAGAGGGGTTTGCCCAGCGGAACCCCATTTTTGCGCAGAAAGTGGGTGCGACTAATCATTGTTTCCTTGTGCCTGCTTTTGTTCATTTTTTTGACATATATGGTTTGCATGTATATCTATTCAAATTGGTCTAAAGGAGCCTCCAAGTTCTATGTTGTTCTTGATTGTGGAAGTACTGGAACTCGAGTTTACGTTTATCAGGCATCAATTGATCACAAGAATGATGGTAGTCTGCCTATTGTCATGAAGTCATTAACAGAAGGTCTTTCTAGAAGACCAAGTTCACAAAGTGGACGTGCTTATGATAGGATGGAGACTGAGCCTGGCTTTCATAAGTTAGTGCATGATAAATCTGGCTTGAAAGCTGCCATAAACCCACTTATTTCATGGGCAGAGAAGCAAATTCCTGAACATGCACATAAGACTACTTCTCTTTTCCTTTATGCTACCGCTGGTGTTCGCAGGTTGCCAAGTGCTGATTCAAAATGGCTTCTGGAAAATGCCTGGTCAATACTCAAGAATTCACCATTCTTGTGCCGCCGAGAGTGGGTTAAGATTATCAGTGGGACAGAGGAAGCTTACTTCGGTTGGACAGCTCTCAACTATCGCACAGGCATGCTGGGAGCCACACCTAAGAGGAAAACATTTGGTGCACTTGACTTGGGTGGATCATCATTACAAGTTACATTTGAGAATGAGAACCATCAACATAATGAAACCAACTTAAACCTTAGAATTGGAGTGGTTAATCATCATCTTAGTGCTTATTCTCTCTCAGGCTATGGTTTGAATGATGCATTTGACAAGTCTGTAGTTCATTTATTAAAGAGGCTCCCAGATGGCTCCAATACCAATCTTGTTAATGGAAAGATAGAAATTAAACATCCTTGCTTGCACTCTGGCTACGATGAACAATATATCTGTTCTCAATGTGCTTCTAAAGACCAAGAAAATGGAAGTCCTGTAGTTGGAGGGAAAATTTTGGATAAAGGACGAAAATCAGGAATTCCTGTGCAGCTTATCGGTGCTCCAAATTGGGAGCAATGCAGTGCAATTGCCAAAGTTGCTGTCAATTTATCTGAATGGTCAAATCTATACCCAGGGATTGATTGTGATTTGCAACCTTGTGCTCTTTCTGATAGCTTGCCTCGCCCTTACGGCCAGTTCTATGCTTTGTCTGGCTTTTTTGTGGTATATCGGTTCTTCAATCTGTCTTCAGATGCTGCACTTGATGATGTACTGGAGAAAGGTAGGGAATTTTGTGAAAAAACCTGGGAAGTAGCGAAGAACAGTGTTGCTCCACAGCCATTTATTGAACAGTACTGCTTTAGAGCACCATATATAGTATCACTGTTGAGAGAGGGTTTGCACATCACTGATAGTCAACTTGTCATTGGTTCTGGAAGTATTACGTGGACAAAGGGTGTTGCACTGTTGGAAGCTGGGAAGTCATTTTCAAGTAGACTGAGGCTCCGTGGTTATCAAATACTGCAGACGAAGATTGATCCAATAATTCTTATTGCCATTCTTTTCATGTCACTGATTTTGCTTGTTTGTGCATTATCTTGTGTTAGTAATTGGATGCCGAGATTTTTCCGGAGACCATATCTCCCCCTTTTCCGGCATAACAATGCAGCCAGCGCATCTGTTCTTAATATACCATCTCCTTTCCGGTTCAAGCGCTGGAGTCCTATCAACTCTGGTAAGATCTCGTCTGACTTATTCTTTGGGAATATTTCTGCCACTTTTATTTGCTTTGTTTTCCGTCAGAGAGGAATTCTAACACTTTAACAGTCTTCCTTGTTGGGATTCCTTCTGCACAAAGGCACCAATCAAGTTGTATGGTCACAGTTGTTTATCTGAATAATGCATGCACAGTATGTTCCAAAAAAGGCTGCAAAAAACAAGGATGCTGATTAGTTTTGAGGTTCTAGAAACCTGATGCATGCCTCCTTTTTGTAGGGATTTGAAATACAATAATTTGGATCAGATATTTATCCCAAGCTATTCTTGTCAGCACATAAGCGAAACTATTTAAAATTTGCTTGCCAGAGGATCCATGATTCTGAACTTATATTTATTGAACTTGACGTGTCTGAGTAGTATGTGAGCCTAAATGAATCATCTTCGTAGTAGAAACTTTTCTATAAATCACTTTGTTTTATTAGTACATGTGTACGTTCTGCAGATGCTCTGTGGATGCTTACAAGTTGCAACTCTGATGTTGACTACCTTTGAATATTAAAATCATTAATAAGCAATTTATTTGGTAAATACTATTTTATTGAATTTATCTGCTTCACACCTTCACTGTAAAGGGTCTGAATGTTGTTACTCTGAATGCACTTCTTGTATTTGGCAAGTCATTACGATCTTTTCTATGATCCTTGTTCCATCTTTAAAGGAAATGTCATATTTGTTTTGTAGGGGATGGAAGAGTTAAGATGCCTCTAAGTCCAACAGTTAGTGGTTCTCAGCAGACACCATTTGGCTTGGGACATAGTCTTGGCAGCAGCATCCAGCTCACAGAGTCTTCCTTGTACACGTCAACCAGTAGCGTGTTGCATAGTTATTCCTCCAGTAGCTTGGGGCAGATGCAAGTTGACAGTAGTAGCATGGGTTCCTTCTGGTCCCCTCACAGAAGTCAGATGCGACTGCAAAGTAGGAGATCACAATCTCGAGAAGATCTTAATTCCTCACTAGCTGAGACACAAATGGTGAAAGTTTAGGGATTGCTTTCCGAAGTTTTGGTATGCTTATTTCTTCTCCTATTGGCATCTTACCTTGTAGGAAAAAGACATGAGAAGTTTTTAAGATTTGTTTGCTCGAATTAATTCTTAGCATTCTTTCTGTAACATACAGAATTTCAGTTCAAAAGCAAGTTAACACATTCATTTGTTTTTACCATAACGATGTTAGTACTGCTCAATCAAGGATGGGACAGTGTCTTTTCTCAACTCTTATTTGTCTCTGACTCTCATTACCATGCCTGGACCCAGAAGTAAATTATGATCAAATAAAACATAAATCTTTGCTCATCGGAATTAGTTCTTTTGGATCTAGCCTTTGCTATGTTTCTTTGATTTTGAATTTAAGATAGTCATAGAACGAAATTAGTGCTTTGGACTTCGTTAATGAATTGCATTGAATTCATTCCAGATGCTACCAGCATTACCGAATTTATGTCAAGCGGGATGATTCTAGGCTAATGATGAGAAGGTCTGGTCATTTGATTCCTCAAGATTTTGCTCAGAAGGGATTCCAAGACTTGTTAACTGGCTCCCCAAGTTACCTGGGTTTTAAGTGCACATCGTTTTTGAGATTTCGAGCATTGGTTACCATTCTTATCCTCATGGGCTAGGTACAGACTTGTTCACCCTCCTCATCAGACAATAATTTGAGCGTCTACCTCTCTGCCAAGTAAATTGCAGCCTAACTGGACAGGCCTGATGACCTTCATTACCTGAAGCATCGTTCTTAATCTTATCAGAGCTAGATCAATAGTTTCTCTACACTGTTTTCCTTAAGTCTTGAGGACTACCAGAAAATTTTTCTTGTCATTGGTTATCAGCAAATGGTGATATGAGAAATGGTTAAAGATCTGAAATATATGAGAAGAAATTATAGCATCATATACAAATCCCATCTTATATTTCGCTCATAGATTGCATCGTAAATGATATTTTCCGTGCAGATAAGAAATCATCAGCTTTTGGTCCCGTCATATGATTTCTGCAGCTCGAGTCAATGATCCACACATTAACATAATCAATCTGTTCAGACGTTGTTACTGTAACAGCTAACTCCTCTTCTATAGTAAAGAGTGCTTCAGCATCCCAATCATCTTCGCTTTTTTCCTTTGTATTGGAAATAGCAGCATTGTTCTCCAGAGACTTTTTACTGGACCAACAAACTTTTGCCATATGACCTCTTTTTCCACAATTGTAACACTTCCCTTCAAACCTTCTATTGTTGCTGCCATTTTTCGAAGCTCCTCCTGAACGAAAGCTCCTTTTTCCTTGATGACTTTTTACCTTGTCATCATTCTTTTTAGATATACCAATGGTGCGCTGCTTAAAGTTACCTCTATTCTTGCTTGCGTAAAGTGCTTCTTCCTCACCCTTAAGTGAGACTCCTCCCATTTGCTTAGCCATGGCTTCTTGACCGGCTAGCAAGTTTTCAAACTCAATAAGTGATGGTTGATTTGGCCATCCCTGTACTGTAGCAACAAAGTCTGTATTCGGGTCTCAATCCATGGATAATTATTCTTTTCATCTTGGTTTCACCAATAAGAGCAGTTGAATCCAACTTTGAAATTTCGCTGCATATCGACTTCACCTTGTGAAAGTATTTGGCGATCGTCATGTCACGTTACACTACTGATAGCAACTCATTATCTACAAGTTACAATCTTGTATCATTCTTCTTTGAGAAAACTGTAGCAAGTGTGTCCCATTTTTTTTTTTTTGGTGTTTTAGCACCCCGGATGTGTTCCAACACGTCTTCTTCAACTGTGGTCTTTAAAGCAAATATTGCTTTGCCTGCTTTAATCTTTCATTTTCGTAAGGCACCATTTGCGTCTTGTGCCTTCGGTTGCTGAACTTCACTTCCATTGACGACCTCTCAAAGATCTTGGCCTTCAATATAAGACGTCAAACATGTCACCCATGTATTGAAATTCTGATTGTTTAGCTTCTTGAATCCTCTAACTACTTGAAGATCATTTAATGTATTTGTAAGGATAACTTTTACTAGAGTATTGATACGCAACCTTGCTTTGATACCAGTTATTGAATATGACAAGACAACTCATCATTTTATTTGATCAGCTTTATATAGGCTTATAGAGCAAGAAGTACATGTTGGTACGTTTTTCTCCTTTTAACTCCTATTAAACCATAACTATGAAACACTACTCAGATTAAATTCACTAACGAATAGAAACAATTTTTAAATTAGCAAAAGACTCATTAACAGCAACTAGACCCATTAACGTTATGCTAACAAACCAAAATTAAAAAATAGCAATAAACTTGATCACACAAGTCTTAGAATTATTTTTCTAAAACCATCGTGTTGTAAATCTTTACAGACTTTCAACTTCATTCATTCGATACATGTATGTACAAAAAAAAATAATCACACATTTGTGTATACAAGCTTATATATATAAAAAAATAAAATTAAAAATAACTATATATAAGTTTAATATAAAGTAGAAATTACACATACAATCCTGTGATTTAATAATATTTATAAATAAAAATAATTGTATATATATTTGGATTAAAAGTTCCAAAGAAAAATCTAATTATCAAGGGTTTATCTTTTGAAGATTGAACTAAAAAATTTGTTTCTCCCAAATGGGAATGACAACTTTCCCATGCTCAAAGGACAATGGGTGTTCACTTTTGGCAATTGGTTGGTAGATCCCAATTTGCTAAAGCATAGACGTTCTTTGCATTTGTTTTTTGATGAAGAAGGACGTGCACTTGTACAATGATATTTACATGCAAGTAAAACCATGTTCTGTTATTTTTGCCAGCGGCCCATAGGTTGATTTTAACAACTTTATATTTGATCGAGAAAAAAATAATGTTTTAAATGGTATCCATGTGTTACTTCCCATCCTTTGTCGGCAAGGTAATTGGCACAGTTGATTGATTGAACAAGAAAAAAAACATCCAAGGTTGTGCTTTGTCTTTACATTTGTTTTGTCTTATATTGCCTTTCATTGAAAATTCGATTCCTCCATGCGCAACAAGTATTGCAAGTTTTTTGAAGTCTCCCCCGTTGAAGAAGTGGTAGCAACAACCGACATGGATGCTTTGTCCTCCACCTTCATCCCCAAATTCCTTGCACCTAGCAGTGCTACCACCATAGTTTCCCGACCTCCTCAACTTTACATATTTTCTGTGAGAATGGAGGGAAAACCACTAACTTCCTCTACCACAACTTCAAAATTATCAAACACTGCATCGCCAGCAACACCTCTTTCACCACTCAAGAATATCATGGCTCCATCAACAGCAATTAAACTCATCTTCAATGCAGTCCGTGACACTTTGGAAAACTTCATATACCCCGATCTCAGCCCCTCTCTGGATCCCAAGCTCGTGCTTGCTGGGAACTTTTCCCCAGGTAATGAGCTTCCTCCAACAGAGTGTGAGGTAATACAAGGGACCCTTCCACCATGCCTGGATGGTGCATACATACGCAATGGTCCCAACCCACAGTACCTTCCTCGTGGTCCGTACCACCTCTTTGATGGCGATGGGATGGTGCACTGTGTTAGAGTCTCCAAAGGACTAGCCACTCTTTGTAGCCGCTATGTCAAGACCTACAAGTACAACACTGAGCGTGAGGTTGGATTCCCCATTGTTCCTAGTTTCTTCTCTAGCTTTAACAGTTTAACTTCTTCTATCACCCATTCAACTCTTTATGCTGCTAGAATTCTAACTGGTCAGGACAATCCTGCAAAGGGCATTGGTCTGGCAAATACTAGTTTGGCCTTGTTTGGAAACCGTCTTTATGCACTTGGTGAGTCAGATCTACCCTATGCTTTACGCTTGACATCCAATGGGGATATAGAAACATTGGGTCGCCATGATTTTAATGGGAAGCTGTTTAGGAGCATGACTGCCCACCCCAAGTTAGACCCTGGCACAGGCGAGACCTTTGCTTTCCGTTATGACCTCATATTTCGCCCATTTCTAACGTACTTCTACTTTGATGCAAACGGGGACAAACAGCAAGATGTGCCTATATTTTCTATGGTCACTCCATCTTTCATCCATGACTTCGCAATCACGAAGAACTATGCCATTTTTGTCGACATACAAATAGGAACAAATCCAGTGAAAATAATACTTGGAACGGGCTCACCAGTGAGTTCAGATCTGACTAAAGTGCCTAGAATTGGGATTATCCCCCGGTATTCAAAAAACGAGTCAGAAATGAAATGGTTTGATGCACCAGGGTTCAATCCTATACACGTGATCAATGCATGGGATGAGGATGATGGCAATGCCATAGTCATGGTAGCACCGAACATACTGTCAGTAGAACACACCTCGGAGAGAATGGACCTTGTACATGCCCGGGTGGAGAAAGTAAGACTTAACCTAAAGACAGGGCAAGTAACTAGGCAGCCCATTTCAACATGAAATCTAGACTTCGCAGTGATCAATCCAGCATACGTAGCTAATAAAACCAAATATGTTTACGCAGCAGTAGGCGATCCAATGCCAAAAATTTCAGGGGTGGTGAAATTGGACGTGTCAAAAAGAGACTCGGAGGAGTGCACAGTGGGTAGTCGGATGTATGGAGCAGGGTGCTATGGTGGGGAACCCTTCTTTGTAGCAAAGGAGCCCGAAAATCCAGAAGCGGCGGAGGATGACGGCTATGTTTTGTCATTTGTTCACAATGAAAACACGAGAGAATCAAGTCTGCTGGTGTTGGATGCAAAGTCGGCTTATCTTGACGTTGTAGCGACGGTGAAGCTGCCCCAGCGAGTGCCGTACGGTTTCCACGGCCTTTTTATGACAGAAGAAAATGTACAACTTAATGAGAAGTCCGTCTAATGAGTTAAATTACTATTTTATTGTATCTGTTCGGATTAAATATGAAGCAAATAAAGTTGATTCAAAGTTGCAATCACCGTATTTTACGAAGGTAATAACATTTTGAATAGCGTCAGGCAAGGTTACTGATGTGTAATTATTATGAGTTTTTTTTTTCTCAGTTATGGCGATTATTTTAAGATAATATTATAAAGAGTCATCATATTTAAATTTAAAATTTATTTTACTGTTGAAAAACAAAATAATCGATTAATATCGATTCTGACTAAATAATTATTGTGTTATCTCTATAACCAACAGAGAAAATGAAAAACTAAAAATGATTATTTTTATTTATGCACGTTGCTTAATTGCTGTGGACCTTCACCTTTGTTCCAATTACACTAGCAGCTGCACATATACAAAAGCAACCACTAGAGTTAGCAGAAAGAAAGAAGAGACTTCTTGGAAAAATTTGTCGAAATATGCTGCATGCGAAAAACGTACCAAGAAGGTTTTGGGCAGAAGCCGTGAGGACTGCAAACTTTGTGATCAATAGACTTCTTCGACAAAGGTTAAGTTTTCTTTCACCCTTTGAGAAATTGTGGCATATGACACCTTCAATTAACTATTTTCGAGTATTTGGATGTGTATGTTATATGTTTGTGCTAGATCATTTACATAGCAAGATTGACAAGAAAGCCGTTCGATGCATTTTTATGGGATATGACAGTCAGAGAAAAGGTTGGAAATGCTGTGATCCTACGAATGGAAAGTGTTACACATCACAAACTGTGGTATTTGATGAAGTGTTTTCATGGTGGTCCTCAGAAAAAAAGTTAGACTCAAACGAATTGAAAGATGAGTTTCACATTGCTCAAATCCGATCAAGTTCAGATGAAACTGGAAATTCATATGAAGATGGTAATGTCGAACAAGAAACAACTTGGAATTCTTGGCAAACTTGTGTGTATCAGCTACCAAGCGAAAAAGGTGAACTTAGTGAAGTGGAAGTATCAACCCCACAACTCCAAATATGCCAACGCAACCATAGTAGAAGAAGTAACTGCAAAAGAACTTGAGACGTTTGAAGAAGCATCTCGAAATTTTATGTGGACTAAAGCTATGGAAGAATAAATCACTACACTAGAGCACAATCAGACTTCAGAACTTGTGCCAAAGCCAAGAAATGTGGAATCTATTTCTTGTAAATGGGTTTATTAAATAAAGAGCCGCACAAAGAGGAAAACCTAATTTAAAAGTTAATTTAAAAGTTGTTTCGTGGATTTAATTGAGTAGTGTTATAGAGTCATGGTTTAGTGGGAGCTCAAAGAGGAAAACCTATCAACATGTACATTTTGCTCTATAAGCCTATATAAAGCTGATCAAATAAAAAGGTGAATTATCTTGTTCTGTCCAGGAATAGGACAGGGTAGAGAGCTGGATGACAAACCGGTAAGTCAATACTCGTATGGTAATTGCTTAGATTTTGAATAGGGCAGAAGAGCAGAGTTGTATAAAAGTGCAACACTTTGAACCCTTGTAAGCCTCTGGGATGAAATTTAGAATTGGAATGCAAAGGCCAGTAATCCCCTGCGTAACGTGTGATGATAGGGCCTATGTCCTCGTTGATACCTGACCAATTGCGTCCTACACATAAAATAATGATCCAGGCAATATTGCACTGGCTGTGGGACTCATAATCTAGCTCAGGGAACAATGACTTGATTGTCAAACAAGTGTTTTGAGCTATAGCCTGTAGCACCTTGGAGCTTCAGTAGTAGGCTACTCCACATGTTGCAGATTCTTAATTTGTCATAACCTCTAACACGAAGCCAGTGATTATATAATTTGGAGGTTGCTGCTGAAGGATCATGAGCATGTTTTCTTGCTCCAAACTAAAGCACAGCATATTTGGGTTTTCCACTCTTATATGATTACTCTTGGCATGATCCGTCAGCATGGACAACGTGGTCACATTTCATGGAGGGAAATTAATGTGAATGTAGAACTGGGACATAAGATCGGTAAGCAAATTAAAGCACTTTGAAATTTATCATTTGAGTGTCTGCTCATGGCTTGCGATTCAGAATTAGATACGAAGGCTTTGTCGCTAGATCGCACAATTGCGTTTCCTGTGGCATAGTGCCCAGGCCAATGGATGGTACACGAAGAACCACCATTTTCATTTCCGTTTCTTCTCTTTGATGCTCTAATTGATTTTGGGCCAAAAAAAAAGGAAAGACTGCCCCTTTCCGAAAGCATACCTAACCAGAGGGAAGGTAGGAGTGATTGGTCCCTAGCTAAACCCTCCAAGGAGGCCGCGTGCCACAGCTTCTCCAATGTGTAGCTTCGAGTCATGTTCACTGTCCTACGCTTGTGGGCATGCTTTGCGCTTGCACTTCTTACTTCTTAGGTTGCTCACTTCCCCAGCGGGACATCTATTAAGGGTAAAGGATTTTTTATTCTATATATAGCTAAAGGATATGGACCATTTTCAATACCACTCAACATGTAAATTATGAAATCATCATAAGTATCGCATTCATTTAAAAGTTTGAAATTAGAAAAGAATATGTATAAATTCCTAAAAGAGAATAGCATAGATCGACTCAAAAGTCAAATTAACAATATTAATTGTATTCAGATAAATTTATAACTCAAATAAAATTAGCAATCAATGTAAAACATTCATATTTACCTTTTCAATTTGCAATGCCCATTAATTATTACTTTAAATGAGTTATTTAATACTTTAGACTTCATATACAAATACTTTATTCAAAAAAAAAATCAATTGAGTATGCATATTGTTATATTTATTTTTTTTCTATTATTTATAATGAAATCGTTCTTATCTTTCAAAAAGAAATGATTAAAATTGCCTAAGAAAATTCCAAAATCCATATAGCGTAACTGGTTGACGACAGGGACTCAGGATTATTTTTGAAAGCGAAAGGAGGAAATATATTATCCATTTGTATACCTTAGTGTCTAACAATAAACGAATATTATTGTCCATTTTAAGGGCAGAAATGCCCCTCTCTTATTCAGTCATAAATATCTCCATTTTGTCTTCATTACTTTTCTTTTCTCGATAATAAATAACAGAGAAAAAAATTAAATAATAATAATAATAATAAATTGCAACCAAATAAAAATCTTATCCTTCATTTTTAATGCCTTTTGTTTTTATATTGGCCAAGGACTTGGGGACTGGTGAAAGGCATATATATGATTATGATTAAGAGAGTCTGCAGCCTTTCATTTTAGCAAAAAGCTGATATTTGAAGGGTTTCGATGATTTCTACGTAAAAAAAATATTTATTAAGTAATTAAGATATTATAAAATTAAAAAAAATTAACAAAACCCGTCTAAACGTAAAAATAAAAATCAAACACTAAAAATTAAAACCGATAATGTATCCATTTAGTAATATTTTACAATGCAAGTTATTTTACATTGGTAATGTGATTGCAGGGAATGTTATTGTAGGGAAAATAACATTACAGTATTTGGTATACAAGTAAAATAATGATTAAAATACAGAGAAGATAACATTACAGCGTTTTATTTACAAGTATTTTGTTGAGAATGTAATGTTAATTTTTTAAATTATCTCTAATTATTAAAATATAAATTTAAAATATTTATATTTTTTATTATTAATTTTTATATAATATCATCTCTTAAATATATTTTTAATATCATATATTTTATTTTTATTTATTATTATAATTTTATATATTTTATTTTCATTACTTTAATATAATTTTTTATGTTATATATTTTATTTTAATTTATTTTACCTATATTATATAAATTTTAAATTTTTATATTTTATTTTAATTTTATTTTTGATTTTTATATTATATATTTTATTTTAATATTTTTATTTTAATTATAATATTATAAAATATTTTAAATAATTTAATAAAATTGAAAGGTAAAAATATGTTTAAGAATATTACAGAGTACAATGTAATGTAATTGTATTAATTTTGGACTGCAATCGCATTACATCTCTTGACTATAATGTGATTATATTGTAATCTTACATTGCAGTGATATGTTATAAAATAAATACTGTAATGTAATTTAATTGAATATATTATAGGAAATGTATTGTTACTTTTTTTATACCAAAACGTTATCTAAGTGATTGGCCTCTCACCATCTGGCATGCAGGGTTACGATAATCAGGTGATAGGTATATGAACTGTTGTGTGAATTAATGGATGAATAGATCAATGGTTATGGTCCCCTCCGGCATTAATGGAGTTCTGGGAAAAAAAATCTCCTCCCAACTTTGTTTTTCCATCTCATTTTTTATCTTCATTTTTATAAATACCATCCTGTGGCTTAAGATATTTTCGTGTGCAGGGGATCAAGATTGAGAGATGCCAGTGCTTCATAGTGCAAATTGTTATCATTTTTGCATTTCTGCTCATAAATATCGCCCCAAAGATTCCCATTGTTGCCCACAGCATCTCGGACTCTTTAGCCCTCCTCTTTCCACCTGCCTGTCCACTGTTGTCGACAAATCAAGGCAACATGGACGCCTTTTCTTCCTCCTTTCTCTCCACCTTACTACCGTCAAAACTGATCTACCCCGCCGTCACCACAGCCAGATCGATTTCCACACCTCACCTCAACGTTTCCTCTGTTAGGATTGAAGAAAGACCTCCAGCTTCCATTCCTAGGACCACCACCACCACCACAACAAAAGCGCCACCCCAACCTCCTATAACTCAACCTCCACCACCGGCGTCAAACACACTGCCCAAAAGAATTGCTTCTCCTTCGCTTGGAGCAAAGAAGAGAGTAGAACCAAAGTTATCCACATTCATCTTCAATACATTCGACAACATCATAAACAACTTCATAGACCCTCCAATCCGCCCCTCAGTCGACCCCAGACACGTGCTGTCCCACAACTTTGCTCCGGTTGATGAGCTTCCTCCAACAGAGTGCGAAGTTATTCAAGGATCTCTCCCATCTTGCCTCGACGGTGCGTACATACGTAACGGCCCCAACCCTCAGTACCTCCCTCGTGGACCTTACCACCTCTTTGATGGTGATGGTATGCTTCACTCCATCAGAATCTCCAAGGGCCAGGCCACTCTTTGTAGCCGCTATGTAAAGACTTACAAGTACTCGATTGAAAACGAGATGGGGTCTCCAATTCTTCCCAATGTTTTCTCTGGCTTTAACGGCCTAACTGCCGCTGCAACTCGCGGTGCTCTCTCAGCTGTCAGAGTTCTAACTGGTGAGTTCAATCCTGCAAACGGTATTGGTCTTGCAAACACTAGTTTGGCCTTGTTCGGAAACCGTCTCTACGCTCTTGGTGAGTCTGATCTACCCTATTCCATACGCTTGACTCCCAACGGGGATATAGAAACGTTGGGTCGCCATGATTTTGATGGAAAGCTGTTCATGAGCATGACTGCTCACCCCAAGATAGACACTGACACTGGCGAGGCCTTTGGTTTCCGATATGGCCCTATGCCTCCATTTCTAACTTATTTTTACTTTGATGCGAATGGAAACAAACAGCCAGATGTGCCCATATTGTCTATGTACCGGCCATCTTTTCTCCACGACTTTGCTATTACAAAGAAGTACGCAATATTTGCTGACATACAGATAGGAATGAATCCCATGGAGATGATTTTTGGAGGGGGATCTCCGGTGGGTACAGACCCAGCTAAAGTACCAAGGATCGGAGTCATCCCTCGATATGCAAAAGACGAGTCAGAAATAAGGTGGTTTGATATACCAGGTTTCAACCTCATTCACGCCATCAATGCATGGGATGAAGATGATGGCAACGCCGTAGTCATGCTGGCACCAAACATACTGTCAGTAGAACACACCATGGAGAGAATGGACCTTGTTCATGCCTTGGTGGAGAAAGTAAGGATCGACTTAAGAAGAGGGCTAGTAACAAGGCATCCCATTTCAACAAGAAATCTGGATTTCGCAGTGTTAAATCCAGCTTATTTAGCAAAGAAGAACAAATATGTGTACGCAGCAGTGGGTGACCCAATGCCAAAAATATCAGGAGTGGTAAAGTTGGATGTGTCCAGGGGGGATCGCCAGGAGTGCACAGTGGCTAGCAGGATGTATGGGCCAGGGTGCTTTGGTGGGGAACCATTCTTTGTGGCCAAGGATCCAGAGAATCCCGAAGCAGACGAGGACGATGGCTATGTGGTTTCGTATGTTCACAATGAAAACACAGGAGAGTCAAGGTTCTTGGTGATGGACGCAAAGTCACCTAATCTTGATATCGTGGCCGCCGTGAAGCTGCCCCGGAGGGTACCGTACGGTTTCCATGGACTCTTTGTGAGGGAAAGTGACCTAAATAAGCTGTAAAAATCAAAGGATAACAGGACAAAATCATCTTCTTTTTCTCAGGGGTGATCTTTTTCCCTCTGATTGAATATATTATAAATTTTCAAAAAAAAAAAAAAGAGCTGTAAAATGTAGAATCTTTCCCCTCAGCGTGGCGTGGATCGTACATTAACATGTCGCAACAGATATAGTATAATCTACATACCATAGCACACAAGTTGATTTGTATCTATATATCAAAGACACTTACCATTTTCTTCATGCTTCCATCCAATGCTTGTACACCATATATCCGTGCAAGTACTTGTTGCACCATATGCTTTAATACTCAGAGAAATTTATACCGACAAGCATTTAAGTGGGAGATGCATCAATAATTTTCATATTTATCCAATGAAAAATTGAATCTACGAGGTATGGATAAACAATAAAAAGGACGAACAAATTTCTGAGGACAATGGTCATTGCCACACCCCATCCATGTCGCTTTCTGGGTACCCCATGAAATAACTTGAAATCATAAGAAACAAAAGGAAAATGCGTAAGCTTGCGTTTTCTTTCTATCTGTCCGAAATAATTTTCTTTCCTCTCTTTCATTTTCCCTTTTCCTCATAAATTTTCCCATCTCTCTTATAGTGCAAGCAAGCCGTGATCCTCCTTTAGATTTGCCAATCGCTGCCCACGATGGCACGTACCACCTAAGTGGCCCTCTTCACTTTAGGCTTTTTAAGTCTCACAGAGTTGCTTCTACGCAGCACCATCAATTCATCATCATCATCATCATCTGCCCCTAAATTAAGTTAAATCTCAACCATTGTTTATGAACATCTGATTAACACACTATGTCATTATTCATATCTATTATGGAAAAAAAATTACGTCGCAAAAGTCTTTATATTCATGTGAATCTTTTATTTCTTTTGTCACGAATCTTTAATCGTGATCGATTTTGTATCTTCTCTATATGAAATGCATTTAATTAAATTTAAAAAAACGTTAAAATGAATTGATTTATAAATAGATATAAAATATTAGAAAAAAATAAAGGAAAATGGTGAAAATAGTAAGTGTAAGCTATGCGTAATAACAAAATATGGAAAGAAAGAAGAAATTATGAACAATAACCATTTTTTATAAAAGCATTTTAAAAATAATCATCAATATAAATTTAATTATTTTTAATTATATTTAGTCATTTTTTGATAAAAATACTCTTGAAACTATTTCAAATAAATTAAACCATTTATCATAATTTCTCTTCATTTGTGTTCTTAATTTCTCTCTTTCATCATCCCACACTCTCTAATTTCATCGATTTCTCACTTCAACATTTGTTTGCTACACTTCTGATTTCTCTCTCTCATTTTCAAATTTTTCTTTTTGCACTTTCAAAACACCAAGCGATGATTTTGATGTGCTTGAGTGGATGGTTATTGAGAAAATTTAATTTTTAAGTATTTTGGATAAAACTAAAATGATAAAAATATCACAAATATTTGAATAATTTTTAATTGGATCAATTTGAGACCTAAACACTAATAAACTTAAAATTTTTAAATTTATAAATCTAAGTTTTCAAAGAAAATTTTTTCGATTTTTAGTCAAATAAGTATTTTAGATAAGAAAATTTGTGTTTTAATTTATGAAAACATATTAGAAACACTTTAATTGATACCAAATTGTTAAAAAACAAAAAGAAATGAAAAAAGTTGAGAAGATTTGAAATTTTGATTTGTAAGTAACAATAACATTTTAAGTATTAAAATATAACAAAATATTTTTAAATATGATATATAACAATAATATTTTTTTTAACATGACCTGTAATAATAAGTTTTATTTTCAATATGACATGTAACAACTTAACCATAACGTGTTACATATTTTTATACATGATATGTTACAACTTAACCATAATGTATTACAATTTAACCATAACGTGTCACATGTTTTTGTACAAAACATGTAACAACTTTAACCATGACGTGCAATATATTTTTATACATAACGTGTAACATTATGACATATAATTTCATTAAAGATAATTTTATCCAATTTGACTAAAAATAATTAAAATTATAATATAGTTATTTTTTAAAACATTTTATCTATAAAGATTATTTTTAAAATACCTTGATAGAAAAGTAAAAAAAAAATCTAATATATAAATCTCAATGAATTTTAAATTTTTGGTATTATTTATATTTAATTATAATAGCACTTAGTAAACTAACACTGAAACATAAATTATACTAAAATTAATTGTTGATGCATTATCTATTAATATATATCTGATAATAATTTATTAAACATATAAAATTACACAAGCAAAGCACCTGTTAAAAGCCAAAATATCTTTTAAGTCCTGGAAGAGATGACAGAAGAACAGCTACGAGCACATCAACCAATTAACAAGATTAATGGACGTTCCTGGATCCTATTTCTCTCACATTTGGAAATTGTTGGCATACAAGAAAGCTTCAGTTCCTCCTTCGCGAAGCCCTTGAAAACATTTCTTTGATGTTTCTTGATTCTGTCTCTATTTTAGCCTTTTTAGCTTGCTTCTGATTTCTTGCAGTCCTTTTCTCACCCGTTGTCTTACCCTGAGAAATTAAAATTTGCAATTGTAAAATGTAAATCCCCCTCATTCCAGTGATAGCCACAGCTACATCCTACCTCTAACAAGGAGGCCAAAAGTGCAAACCCCCCTTCCCCATCTAAAAGTAAAAAAGAATACAAGCAATAACACCTATAGGACTTTATGTAAGACCAGTAATACCTGTGAGGGATTAGAAGAACCCATAGGACTTTCTATGGCATTTGAGCAAGCTTCAAAATCCGATGCTATTCTCATTGCCTCCGGTAAATTCAATCTGCAAACACCTCAGCACTATGTAACTCCAATGAATCAAGAGGGAAACCACTCTGCATAAATTCATTTGATCTATGTATTTCTTATAAATGGAGTTGAAGAAAATGTTTATATAAATTAGAAAAACTCAAAAAAGTTTGAGACCATACTTAAAATGATTCGACAAAAGCTTCAACCAAGGCTCATCTTTCAAGTACTCCCCTATTATTGATACTGCATCAGCCACTGCATCAGTGAAGGAGGTAAATCAAATTGTAACCTTCGTTGTTAAATCAACATTAATTTCATGTCAAATCAGACATTCAAGTTTTATCAGATGTAAATACCAAATGCACTGATCAGGCACATGCTCCCGTGCAAAACACACAATAATATCAATGCATAAACTATACAATATGTAGCTGATTATGGTCCTACGAAACTGAAGTTCAAGAGGATTGAATTGGAAAGCAGTCCTTTACATTTTACATTTATTGACCCCTCATAAGAGTTAAATCTTAAACCTATACTCTCTTGCTCTTTTCAATCCCTCGATATTGCAGCAGAAGACCCTATAAGAATGTTTCATGAATTGTTATCACCTACATACATCTATCTTGTGTGTGTGTAAGGTGAATGCACACATCTGCAATTTTGCATGCATTTGTATGAATATACATAGCTGAATATCATAGACTATTTTCTCAGAAAAATATACATGTATCCTTCTCATCACGTGCAGCATAGTTTTGGTCCAATGCTGGTAGAGTCTGTTTTAACTGGCATACCTGCAATTCAAGAGATATTATATTTAAGAAACATGGAAACTCTCTATCATCAATAGATAAAGATCGCTAAACAGTTTTAACTTATGTGTGTATTTTTCACTTAGGTTAGCATTGTACAATAATGGAAGCAACCAGCATGAACTAACAGACAATGTTGCAATAGTTTGATAGCAACGATGTAAAACAATAGTCATAGGCATGAAACATATTAAAGACAGAACTAGAACTTGCATTGTTCCCCAAGAGGATATTTAATGCACAAAGTATAAACCAATTGACCTACGAAAGATACATATCCTCTTTCCAGTTGAAAACACAATAATTCCATAGTCCATAGCAATTATGAAGGTGTCTACACTTGGGCACTGTACCATCCACAGTAAGATAAGTAAACCACCAACAAAAAGGAGGTTTTAAACATTTCATAGATTCAAACACAAGAAAATGAGTTCAAACAGAAGAAGGCTGACCTTGTAATTTAACCAAGCTAAAACCTTCATGTCATCAAGCCTAAAAAATTTTGATGATCCAATTTCTGCATATAAAAAGTGCAGGTGAGAATGATTCATAAATATTATTTGCAGTATTAAATCATTGCTTTCATTTTAACACATACAGTTATAGAGCAATTTGTAATGCACTTAATAGAATCTGTTCTCCATCAGAGACAGAATACAGTAAAGTTCAAACTCATATTTAACTATTTAAGGTTATTAAGGCATTTTGTTCTTGTTCTAAGAAATTTAACACTTCTACACAAGAATATTAAGCAATCAAGTCAAATGCAACTCAAGAGCATTCAAACCCCCTAACTGCACACCAAAATTACAATTCACAAAAGGAAATTTAATGGCAAAATACAGATTTCTTAATCCTATTAACAACAATTATCAAAATGAAACGCACAAAATAACTTACATAATAATATCTAAGAACTATTCTCAAAGAGATATTCACAAGAATATGCAGGTAGTAGGAAACCTTTCATTTCACAAACAACTTGCATACAGCTCTCTGCAATGGAGAATAAATGTCGATATCCAGGATAGTCATTAATGAAGAGTATCTCATCTAATTGCCTAAACTTTCCAGGGTCATCCACTTTCTGCATTAACACCAAAATTTTATCATTGTTAGTGAAAAATCCAGATAAATGCTTCAAAGATTTAAACAATGTTCTAATAATGAGAGATAAATATCAAAGTTTCAGAGGGATAAAAAAGGCAGATGTGTTATTCAAACAAGATATCACATTACTGCATAAAGGCTAAAGAATCTTGCAAGCTTCACAAGTTATTATTGATGGGTTTTCATTTGTTCCAGTGATGATCAAATTGCCCCCATTAATATGAATAAAATCTTGACTAAGCAAGGGCCATCTACTTAAATTTCATTTAGGGCTTGATATTTCAATGGCACAGTTCCTCAAGTATCTTTACCCTCAGTTGAAGCACTTGGCTAGGGTCTAAGGGAGAATGCATTGTGGAAGATGCCTTGCATTGAGGTTCTAAGGTGCTATTTGACAACTGGTCTTGTCAAAGTAACTAGGCAAGTATCACCAGTTAAGGGCAACTAGTAATGATCATACCTTCATTCTTGCTTCTTCAAAGATAGGCAACATG